AGCGACAGGTTCAGTGCTGTGGATCTTGATCCTTATGGATGCCCATCCCCATTTCTAGATGCTGCTGTGCAGTGTGTGAGTGATGGTGGTGTTCTGCTGGTGACATGTACTGACATGGCTGTACTCGCAGGAAACTGTCCTGAGACTTGCTACTCCAAGTATGGAGCTGTGTCTCTACATATCAAGTCTTGTCATGAGATGGTATGTGGCTGCAAATACACGTAGAGAAATTACTTTATCCGTTTTGACACCAGAACCATCAATATAATAGCTGTAAATGTTGCATGCAAGCCACAATTGTAACACAAACACCATCTTCATAGACATACTGGGTATTTACTGGAACATCAGGCTTAGATGAGAGGAAGCTTGTTCAATGATCGTGTTGCACAAAATATTCTTGTGGTTCTGAGATCTGTTTCTGCAAGTATGTTCCCAACAAATGTGTGTTATGTTGTTGCACATTCACTTTTATTAGATACTTTACGAGGAGCTCTGCAGTCAGTTCTTTTGGGAGATAACTTTATTTTCAAGAAAAATTTAAGCCTTGTATTTAGGCAAATTCAGTAATAAGCCTACGCAGTAATATAAAGTTCAAAATTCCTGTGAGTTTTGAATCCACATAACTTCTTACCTCGAGTGGACCCCCCCTCTTCTCTACAAGTGCTGGTGGCAAGCCATTTGCATGTGTACTTTGTTTGATGTATTAATTTTGTCTGGAAGTTTCTTACGAAGTTATGCCTCATTTTTTGAATTGTTATATGTAGATTCCCTTGCTAATTGTGGTTAATTATTCAGGCACTGAGGATAGTCCTGCAGTGTGTTGAGTCTCATGCCAACCGGTATGGTCGCTACATTGTACCGCTCCTGTCTCTCAGTGCAGACTTCTATGTGCGTGTGTTTGTCAGGATGTTTAGCGGCCCCGCTGTATGCAAGAAAACTACTAGGTAACTGCTCACCCATACAATTCCCACTTTATGTGCAAGTGCTTGTAAGATGGCAGTATTTGAGTAAATACAAACCAGTTAGCAGCAGTTTTTATGCAGTAGTTTGTTATTTTGGTATCAGTGACATTATATTGGGCCTATCATCATGACACTTCACATGAGTTCTTTGTTGGTCTGGGAGTTTACTTGTAGAAGTATGAAAGCGTGATGTAGAGTTATCTGGATCAATAGGATCTAATGGTGGGATTTTAGGAACACTGTAATGAACCATTAATTTTCATAAAGGGCGAGGAATTTAATATCCAGCCAAGAGACTGTTGGCTTTGCAGGAAGGGCTCTGCTGGAATTGTTAATTTAGCCTGTCAGTAAATGTGGATGTCACTTTATTTTCACTGTCTTAAGTTAGTAATGTAGATTGTGCACATGCATATTAACAGAATTTCACAGTTTTCTTATTTCTTGTGTTGCAGCAAGTTGGCACTTGTGTTTCAATGTACGGGTTGTGAGACCCTGTCACTACAACCTCTTGGAGTGTCCCATCAGTATGGGGACAAATTGAAGTTTACGTTGCCACATGGCCCTCCAGTTGGAGCCGTGTGTGAACAGTGTGGCCATAAACACCATGTAAGTAAGACTGAAGTCTCTATATCTTGGTTCCTACCTACAGTGGACTTGACAGTGTGATTTGAAGGATGGAAGAGCATTGATTGAGGATGTTTGTGCTTTGAATATCTGGTTTATAGATTGACAGAGCAACAGCAGAGTCAAAAAAAGTGTGGAAGGAGGAGCTTCTTAATTTTTGCAGACCACAAAATGTTAATGTGATCAGATGAGGATGAGATGAACAGGGCATGCAACATGCATGGGATAGATGAGATATTATTACAAAGTTCTAATTTGTGTGTGTGTG